ATTTTCTATACATCTACGCCGTAAATGCAGAGAACGTTCTGGAAAAACATACAGAAACACGGAGGAGAGTGGTTGCCAACCAAAAAGAGCACATAAACAGGGGAGTAGAGGGGGAGGGAAATTTGCTTCTCCTGATACTCTTGTACAAATTTTATCTTATAAACATGTATTGCCCACTGAAGGCTAAATAAACACATGGGACGGCTCTTCATTTCGTCTGTTTACGTCTCCCATCTCCTCACCCCTCCTCCGTCCCCTTCCCCTCCCATTCCTTCCACCTCTGGTAGCCTCTGGCCACCCTGTCCCAAGACATACAAGCTCTCAACAAGCTCTCAATGAACTAAACGGTAGCCAGAGACTGAGCAAGGAGCAGCACAGGGTAAGAAGAAATGCCAAGTGGAACCAGGAAGTTTTTCAAGGTCACGTCCTTCACCGGCCAACCCAACACACCAGGCAACTCTTCACCAACACAGGAGCCGATGTGAAACAGCAAATGCTTTGCCTTCTCATCTTCTGGAAGCAGACAGGTCAAGCATCCCAACTTCAGAATCAACCAGCCAATTCTTTCCCAAGCAAGTGTATCATGCAAGAATCTACTCGAAAGAGATCTAAAGCTACACAGTATTCCACCCCCAAAGGAGGCTCTTTGTCCCAGGCCCTTGTGCTGTAACAGACACTTTATTTTCTGTCTCAAATCAGGACACTGAATACGCCCTGGCCTCTAAAAAGCAGGAATTATGAAGAGAGAGCTCATTGGAAGGAAAATAAACCTGTAAATCCTGTTAGGCTCTGCGCTTCATTCCAAAGGATTTCTCCCCAAAACAATACCATTAGCAATACCATGATAGCCCTTAAAGGGAGGATTCTGTACCAGAGAATCCCGGTTCTTTATTCAAAATAACCCCCAAGGGTTCCCTGGGTGGCGCAGCGGTTTGGCGCCTGCCTTTGGCCCAGGGCGCGATCCTGGAGACCCGGGATCGAATCCCACGTCGGGCTCCCGGTGCATGGAGCCTGCTTCTCCCTCTGCCTGTGTCTCTGCCTCTCTCTCTCTCTCTCTCTGTGACTATCATAAATGAATTAAAAAAAAAATAAAAAAAAAAAGAATCCCTTCAAAATAACCCCCAAGACAGCACAGCAACATCAGGATTCAACTCCCCTTCACCACCGAGAGAGCCAACTCATTTTCACTCTCGGTCTGTGGGCTCGCCATGGTCCTCCTTATAAATACTTTTTCTGTAACTTGGATGTGCTTCCCACCCTCCAGGCTTCTCTTCTTCCACGTGGGCAGTCGGTCCACAAATATTCATTAAGGGCCTCCCAAGTGCCAGTCACAGAGAAGAGAAAGCTTGATCCATGCCCTCAAGGAGCAAACAGGGAGATGAGACAAACAAGCAATTATAACACAAGGCTGTTAGTGCTGTAACCAAGCTCAACAGAACTCTTCCCCCTGGAGCCTGGGAATACCACGAGGTGTTCTCTGGATGCTGAAGACGGGAACTGGGGTTCTGCAAGCAAAGACGGGAGTGGGGGAAGACCATCTCAGGCAGAGGAAAAGCAAGTGTGATGATACAGACGCACGGAGCAGACAGCAAGTCAGGAAGAAACTCAAGTGTGGCAAGAATTAGGGAATCCCCCTTTGTGGCCTGGCGTCTTTGAGAAGGGGCTCAACTTCTAAACTCTGACCTTGGATGGAAAAGTCCTAGTATCTGAGAGCAGCTTGTTTTCCGGGCTATCACCAGACTTTATCATTACAAACATGCCCGGAAGGAATCGTGGCAGAAACCAGTCTCCCACGTTAGAGAACATGAGGCTGGGGACTCCTGGGTGGCTCAGTGGGTGAGCATCTGCCTTTGGCTCAGGTCATGATCCAAGGATCTTGGGATCGAGTCCCGTGTCAGGCTCCCTGCATGGAGCCTGCATCTCCCTCTGTCTGTGTCTCTGCCTCTCTCTCTGTGTCTTTCATGAATAAATAAATAAAATCTTTAAAAAAAAAAAAAAGAGAGAGAGAGAGAACATGAGGATGAATAGGATCACAAGAAGCAGGCCTAGTTTACTCTGTAGGTTAGTGGAGCCAAAGAAAAAGAACCAATATGCCACCACGGGGCTCCTTCTCAGCTGCAGGTAGGTATCTCCCTGCAAAAGCCCTCCTGGCTCCTTTTCCCGAAGTTAGTGGCCTTAATGTCGCCCCTGCAGCTTCTCAGGTCAGGCAGACGCTTTGGCTTCCAGCCCTAATCTGTGTTGCCAGGCATCCTCTTAACCTCACTCAAAGGTCAGAGGGCAAGAAGCTGCAGAGCGTCTGAGCCCAATGATCTTCTGCCTCCATCTCCCGTCCCTTCCCATATCCCACAACCCACTAACGCCCGACTGTAGCGCTGCAGCTGCTTTACTGTGTCCATGTGTATTTGCTCCTGTCCAGGTCACGTACGTATCTGTATCTGCATCGACTTTATCTACTCCTTAACTTGTTAAACTTTCCGAAAGCAGGGATGAAGTATTCCCCACTCTCCCTCATTTGCATGCCCGTCTGTACTTAGAACCACACTCGATTCCAGTGATACTATGGGAGAACACGCAATTCCTTAGGTTGAAAAGTTATAGGGGGGGGGGGTGCGGGGGATGAAATGGAACTTGGCTTAGAGCTAGAAGCAGAATGGCCATATAATTCATAGTCCGCATCCTGACCCTTGAGAGCAAGGCAAGCACTTTCATAACCAGCAGGGACAACTTACAAACTAGGTCTGTCCCGGGGGAAAACAGAGGCAAATGGTCACCCTGGCTAGAAAGGTCATTCCAGATAGATGAGTTACTCCAGAGCTCCAAGAAGGGCGCGCCAAACACCTTCAGCCTCCAATTCCTGCGCTCGCAGCCTAAAGGGGCTGTGTCAGAGATGCTTGTGGCAGGGAGCCCAGTACCAGGAAGTTCTTCCTTCTATCTAGCTGAGATCCTTAAAGATCCAAGTTAATCCCACTTTTATTCATCTCAGGGCCTCAGAGAAAACACTGCCCTGGGCCTTCACCCTTGGTAGCAATTCCTCTTTATGAGTTCGACTGCTATAGCTATCCATCCTTCAGCTGAACCAAACTCAATCCGGCTGCCTCAGAAATAGAAAAGCCAAGGGCTTGGGAGTCCTTCTCAATGAGAACACAGTTCGTCTTTTTCTTGCCCCAAGGCCCCAGGAGCCCTCCCAAACCAAACCCACGGAAGAAATGGTACCTGAATTCATCTTTTTCAGACTAGGATGTTCTTCCCTCAGCCAAAACTATAGCTGCTGGGGACCTGAGCTCCAGGGAGAAGGGACTCCCAGCCCTCCCTACTCCCAGTCCCCCCCTCTGCCCCCCAAGAGCTGATTCAAGCCCACAGCAGAGCTGGGTGGCAGGAAAGACTCCATGAAGAAGGCAGTCTCTCTTCTTCCCTCCCCTAGCCAACGTCGGGATGGTGCTGTGCCGGTTGAGAGCAAGGACCTTACTGTCTTCTTTTCCACATAAAAAAAGAAGTCTCAGAAGAGGGTGGAGGGGGAAGAAGGTCGGGACCCACAAACACACGGAGCAGACAGGCTCCAGCAGCCCTTGCCCACAGCAGTTGCATGCCCCTTTGGCACACGCTCTTATCCCGGGGCCTGACAGTAGATGCAAGTCAAATGCTCCCACCCACTTGCCGTCATCCCTACCCCCTTTTACAGCCATATACGTTTTATTCTAGAAAGGAGTTATTTAGGGAACATTGTATAAAGGGAGGGCAACTATGTGATCACCCAAAGGTCACTGAGACAATGCCAACAAAACTAAACAGCGCACAAGCTTGCCCCACGTGACCTTGGGCTAGTCACTTCACCTTTCCCAGCCTGCGTTTTTTTTTTTTTTTCATCAGCAAAACGGCACAACCGGTGAGATGCTTTATGAGGTCCTTCCTGGCTCCAAGGGCTGAATATTTAACTGTGTGTTTCCTGAAGAAATGGCTAAAGAAAATCAGTGAAGAGAGCAGAATTCAGACTAAGCTTTTTAACTTCTGCTTCAAATCGGAACATTCCGACTCTAGAAATCGTTCGATTTACCATCATCTCCTCTGGTCCCGCTTTTCCTACCTCACCTGACCTCCTAGTTTTGCTGAGGTCCATCTTAACCACAGGGCTAGGAGTCTCACGAGGCAGGAACACGGTCAAATTAATTTTGCCAACGCTGATACCAGCCCACAGACCCGGTGTGCCCTCCGCAGCAGTTAAGCCTGGCCGTAAAAGTGAAATTCGTGTTACTGATGATCTATTAGACCCGCTGCCTGGCCGGAAATAAATCACTTTCTGAATAACAATGCCCACCAAATTCTTGCAGTCTTTCAAATCCCTAAGTGCCAAGAGTTAATATTCTTGTCCGAGAATAAAGTCAGTAGCTCAAAGGGGGATGGTGAAATGGAGAGACATCCTCTCCCCCCCCCAACACACACACACACACACACACACACACACACACACACACGCCCCTTGCTCTGGCCAGACCAAGACAGCCCTGCCTTCAGGTCTGCCCACCTTCACTGAGCTTCAAAATGGTAATAAGCAGGGGCACCCCCGCCCCTTACTGCTCTGTGCAAGTCCTGCGACTGCAGGGTGCTCGCCTCCACCGCCAACCGACGCTACACCAAAGCAACCCGGTTTCTCATCCACATGTGAAGAGGAAGCCGCACTCCTCCTCTACCTGCTGGAAGCTACCCGGGCGTGCACACACCCTGGGGGAGCCGGCACTCGCACCCCGCGAGGTCCCCGCAAGACGCGGGCTGAAGGCCACAGGGAGGAGGAAAGATCGATGCAGCCGATGCAAGTGCGGACGGTCGTGCTCCTGGGATGGGGGCGGGGGGGAGCGAAACAAACAAACAAACAAACAAACAAACAACAGCAACAACACAAACGCGCGCCGAAGTCCCCAGCGGAGGCTGCGCCTGGGAGGCGGCCGCGGAGGACGGATGCGGGCCCGGGGCGGCGCGGCGAGGGAAGGGCGGGGGCGGGCGCTCACCTGTCCGTACACCTGGAGGGGCTCGGGCTGCAGGGCTGCGCTCCGTCTCCTCCGCGGCGGCGCCTCGGCCGCCCCCCGCGGCCCCCCGCGCGCCTCGCCCCGCAGCACGCGGACGCCCCGCTCCTGGGGCAGGGGCGCGCGGCCGCCGAGCAGCGTCTGCGCCCCCGCCGCGCACACGGCCCCGGGCGGCAGCAGCGCGACCAGGGCGAGGAGGAAGGGGAGTCGCGACTCCCTCCTGCTGCTCCGCGTCGCCATGTTCGGGCGGACGCGGCCGCGGGTGGCGCCGCCGCCAGGAGAGAATGTGCAGCGCGAGGCCGGGCGGGCGGCTGGGCCGGGGCCGCGCGCGCCGCTCCCGGGGCTCCCGGGGCTCCCCGAGCCCCCGCCCCGCCCCGCCCCCGCCCCGCCGCGGCCCGCTCCGCTCGGCGCCGTCACGTGTGCGGCCCGCAGCCGCGGCCCCTGCGCGCACTTTCCGCGCTCGGCGGCCTCGGCGCGCCCGGGCCCCTCCCCCGCGCGGGGCTGGGGAAGTCAAGGCAGCGCGCGCCCGCGCGGGTGCAGGGGTGCAGGGGTGCAGGGGTGCAGGGGCGCGGGGCGCGCGCGGGCAGGCGCCGGCCGGGGTGCTGCGGCGGTTGCCTCCTCCGCCGGGGCGCGGGGGGCGTCCTCCACCGCGGCGGGGCTCCTTCCCCGACTGCAGCGGCCCCGGAGCGCGGCCGCACCCCCACCCCACCCCACCCCACCACCCCGCGGCCCCCGCCGCACCCCCACCTCCGACCGAGAGCCCGGAGCCAAAGAAAATTAGCTCCGAGCACGCGGAACACGGCAGCGGGCAAACTAGAGTCCAGACGAGCCCGCCCCCATTGTGAGGCTCGCAGGGTCCCCACTACTCTCCCCGGGCATCGAAACCTATTTGCAGCGGCCGCGGCCGAAAACTATCCTCCATCGGGCCGAGCTGCCCGGCCGCGAGCACGGTCGACGTGCGCCCCGCACGGAGGCAGCAAGCGGCCGCAAGGGCTCCCTGACCAGGGGCTTCGCGTGCCTGGACAAGTGCACACACACTTCTACATCCTTGCGCGCCTGAATCCCTGCGCCTAGCGACCCAGCGCAGTGGCCGGTCTGTGACCCTCCAGGGTGACCAAGCCTGAGCCACGCTACCTCGGCTGCAAAACAGATATATTCCAGTCGGGTCAGCCAACAGTCCATACCTTCTGCAAGTCCTCTGCAAGCCTGTAAGCCTTGCCGCTAAGGGGAGTGGGGGCGGGGGGGGGGCGATGCTCAAAAGAGTGAGCAGGACCCACGTTTATCCCTAACCTCAGCTTGAAGATCCAGACCCTCTCTTCCTACAGATGGAACTGCTGAGGCACACCCGAGCTTAAGGATGTTTCTGCAGGTTTGTAGGAACAGCCAAGGCCTATCCACTGTGGCCCGTCGTCTATTCCATTTTATTTATTTTTCTTTTTTTTTAAGATTTTATTTATTCATGAGAGACACACACAGAGAGAGAGAGAGAGAGGAGAGAGAGAGAGGAGGCAGAGGGAGAAGCAGGCTCCATGCAGGGAGCCCGATGTGGGACTCGATCCTGGGACTCCAGGATCACACCCTGGGCCTGCCTTTGGCGCTAAACCACTGAGCCACCCAGGGATCCCGTCTATTCCATTTTATATTTCACTGTGCTTTGCACTCAGATCCTGGGTTTTGTTAAGACTGAAGACAGAAGAAGGAGCAGGGATTAAGGCGAGACTGCTTCTGTGGTTGTACAGGAGAGCTCGGTTTCAAGGGAGGAAGGGGTGATCCGTTCAGCTCCCCCAAAATGCTCCTCATTCTCACAAACCAGTCGTTTGATATCGCCCCCCTGCTCTGGAGTCCTCTCTGGTTAGCTTAGCAGAGCCCCTTCCCCTGCCCAGCACCATCCTGCCAAAGGAGAGACAGCCCCTCCTCACCTCCTCCAGCCCCAAGCTTTGCCACCCTCCCTCACCCCAGAATTGCTGAGGTCTGGCCTCAGATTCTGCAGTTCCCCATCTCTTCCCAGCTCCAGTTTTCTCCCCAGTCAGGTTCCCCTGCCCCCCACTTTCTGTCCACCTCAATGTAATCATAGAACCACCCAGCTCTCCCACCAAGCAAATCACTCATCCCCTGGGAAAGCCTCACTGCCAGCTCCCACTCTCCATCTAGACCAGCATTGCCCCCTCTGGGACCACCTTACCAGGAGTGGACCACCCTGCGGCCTCCCGGGACCAAGAGCATAGACACTGCGCCACACACCCCCATTTAACCCCCAAGGGAAAATGTGGCTAGAGTCACAACAGCCTGCAGATGATTCAATTATTGTTTCTGTCAACGTATATTTAATGAGAACTTTCTCTACAAGAGCAAGTGTCAGAACCCCAGCAGAAAACAGAGACAACATGTCCCCTACGTGTGGATTTGAAGAGAAGCAGCCCATTTTCTCCGCGCAAACTGCTGGTTTGAGGTTCAGATGGCAATTTGCAGGGCCGGCTCCTTCCTCATTTTGATTTTTGATATGCAGCTTAGAAGCTGGACGCCTGGCAGGAATGCTCAAACATGGTTAATTTACTCCCTGAAAGCCCTCCTCTGTAGTCATTATCTACATTCCAGGCCATTCTCAGGTGGATGATCGGCAAAGCCTGAGACCATGTGTGCCTCCTAACTACAGGGCACAATGGAAAGCCCACTGAATGTCGAGTTAGGAGAACTGACTTTCTAACTTTGAGGACTCCAAGCTTCGATTTTCTTATCTACAAAGAAAGGATCTTCATCCCTGTCTATCACACAGGACTGTTCAGAGTGTCAGATAGAATTCTATAGATAGAAAAACATAAGTACAGTTGTCAAGGCCCCAGATAGAAGTATCACGGGCAGGTGCATTGAAGATGTGCATTCTAGTCCTGGCTTTGCAGCCAAGTGGTCATGTGATTTTTGCCCTGGCCACCTCGCCTCCCTGGGCATTGGGTGTCTCCATATGTGAAAGTAGATCTTGCAGCCTTGATCATTCCCTGCCCCCTTCAGGACACCCACCTGAGCATGAGATAGAAGCAGCCACAGGTGAGGCCACCCAGGATAGGGGTCGGAGCTGAATTGCGCAATTCAGCAGGATTTCCTTCTAGCTTCAAAACCAGATCTGGGCTGTAAACAAGCCACCACTTCCTCTGTGCCTCCAAAATAGTATCAACATTGGGGTGGGAATGTAGACAGAGGTAGTACCCTCATCCTCTTCTGCCCCAACATGTATGGCCTTGCTCTCCATGCTGTGCAATATCACGAGGAAAATCAACATGCACGGGAATTTAACACTAGACTCACAGCTGTATAAAAAAGACTCGAGCCTCTGGGTTGGACTTTAAACCGCCCTCCTCTGTCCTTCTATTCATCCTAGGCCATCCTGAGCTTGGACTGAAGATAGAGCTAGGCAAAAACCACCCAGAGGTCTCGGCGTCCCACATTTTTAACCAGATGGAGTCACCTTTAAAGTAGTAACAAGGACAACAACCATGAAGAGAAAGGAGGGGAAAAATCCCCAAAGCCTAACCCAACTTCTTTCTGTTCTCTTTCCGCCCTCATTTCCTCCCCAAATGTCAGGATCTATCTGCTTAGCCTCCCCACTTGGCCTACCCAAATCCTATTCCTCCTCCAGCTCCCAAGGCCTCCCTCTGCGCCCAACCTAAGTCACAGCCACTCACATTAAGGTTCTAAGTTCCCTGCAGTCTTTGATACTTCCTCTCTGGTCATATTACTAATTTAACCTCATTTTCCTCTCAAACTAGAAACAGCAGGAGGCCAACAATGGTCTTGTCTTGGTCTTGTCTTGCTCTTGTCTTGCTCTTGTCTGTTTTCCCAGTGCCTAGCATAATCCTGGCACGTGGTTAGTGCTCAGGAACACTTATAGAATGTATGTATATGAATGAAGGGGAGGGATGACTCCCCTTTGCCTTGTGGTGAGGGTTTGGGGCACTTAAGGCGCCAATGTCGGTGAACCTTTAGACCTTTTCTTACCACCATCTCTCCCCCCACCACTTCTTTCTCCCAGAGTTGGCTTCTCTGAGTCACAACCAGACCTCAGAGTCACTGAAACAGAAAAGGGACCCCCCCCCAACACTTAGGAGTGGTGAACTTTATTCCCCTATGTGTCACTCTAGCCAGATAACTATCATTCCCCTCCCCAACCAGGGTAAGATAGAAATGCCTTCTTGCCCCAAAGAAATAACACTTTCTCCTATTGTTGCCAAAAATTCCCTTAGTTAAGGCAAAGTCTGGTATAATTGATAGGGTTGAAAATCCGATGCATCGAGAACATAGACCAAGGAACTTAGATTCTCATTCTAGAATAAATTAAATTCAAAGAGGAGGTTCTGGAAATAGGAATAAGTTACTTTTACATAGCAGCACTTTACATTTATTTGCATAGTATTATAACAACATTATCAAATGTCATCTCTCAGCAACCAGTTGAAGTGGGCCAAAGCATGCATTATGGACACCCCCATTTCACAGATTTTGACAATAAAGTCTCAGAAAGGAAGATTATGTCACCAGCCCAAAGTCAGACAGTTTGTAAGAGTTAGACCCAGGCTCTTGACTGTTTGGGCCACATCTGATTTCCCTAAGGCCGAGAGAAGAGCTGGTGTTTCAAGTCCACGTATTTCTAGTCCAGTTTCAAGGCCTGGGTGAGGCAGTGAGAACCAGTGCAGACAGAAGACAGAGTTCACAAATCGAATCCTGTTTCCTATCCTTTTGTAGAAAAACCTAATGAGGGATTTGGTTTCAGATTTTCAAATGGGGGATTTTGCTTCAAAATCTCTGAAAGAGCACAGGTTTGCCTTGGGGTGCCTGGTTGGCTCAGTGGTTAAGCATCTGCCTTTGGCTCAGGTCGTGATCCTGGGGTCCTGGGATCGAGTCCCACATTGGGCTCCCTGCATGGAGCCAGCCTGCTTCTCCCTCTGCCCGTGTCTCTGCCTCTCTCTCTGTGTCTCTCATGAATGAAAAAATAAAACCTTTTAAAAATCTCCTGATGAGACAGTTTGCTGAGGGTCCCTAGGAGGTGATCTCCTTCCCTATGAATATAGAACCAGACTCCCCTTGCAGGGTCTGGACTGAACAGGAGGAGCTAAGGCTAGAGATTCTTTGAAAAACCCTGGAAAATGACACATCAATGGCTTCTATATCCTTCCCTCAGAGCCTTTACAATCCAAAAACCGTGAGGTCAGAGCTCTAGGCACTCAAGTGTGGGGAGGCACCAAAAGCCCCTTGGACACAACTCAGTTTAAAT